TGGTGAAGAGTCTAAAGACTAAAGAAAGTATAGGATAAGGTTGAATCCCCTCAATTGCGCATTTGGTGTCATTTCCAAAATTTTTTTGGGTTATATGGTCAATCAAAAGGGAATAGAAGCAAAGCCTGAAAAGATCACGGCTTTGGTAGACATGAGATCCCCATATAAGGCCAAGAAGGTCCAAACCCTCACTAGATACATAGCACCTCTCAGTCACTTCATCTTGAAGGCTATAATTAGGTATCACTTCTTCAAAGTTCTCAGGAGAAGGAAGAAGTTTTAATGTAATGAGGAATGTGAAGAAGCCTTCCAAAGGCTAAAGAAGCTGTGAAGAAGCCTTCCAAAGGCTAAAGAAGTTGTTGAGACAATCCCCTCTTCTCTCCAAACCAAAAGTCCATGAACCCTTATAATTTATTTGGCTATATAAGAAGAAGCCATCAGTTTATTCCTTGTCAGAGAATAAAGTAACCACCTATTGCATGTTTATTATGTGAGCAAGGCTCTATTGCAAGTGGAGACTCGCTACCCAAAAATAGAGAAATTGACTCTCTACCTGGTTTCTACATCCAGAAACTAAGGTTATACTTTCTACCCCATAGCATAAATGTTTCGACAAACTACTCCCTCAAACAAGTGCTTCAAAAACCTGACTCTTCTGGAAGGTTAAATAAATGGGCTATAGAAATACTAAGCTCGATCATATGGTCAAAGTCAGAACTTCCATCAAGGGTCAAACCCTAAGAAATTTTATAGATGAATTTGCCAATGCCTCTGAAATAGAGGAAGCAATAAAGCTTGTCAAGCCTCCTACATGGAACCTCTTTGTGGATGGTTCTTCTAGAAAAATGGATGCTAAAGTAAGCGTGGTCTTAGTAAGTCCGGAGGGCCATAAGCTAAATTGTGTAGGGAGGTTCGATTTCAAAGCCTCCAATAATGCTATTGAATATGAGGCTCTCCTAGCTAACCTCAGAATAGCCATAGAGATACAAGTCGAAAGGTTGTACATAAGCAGTGATTCTCAATTGGTGGCGAGTCAACTCAATGGTAATTTCACTACAAAGGACAAGGGCATGGCTACATACATCAAGCTTGTAATGGACTTCGTTCCATCCTTTAAAAATTCGAGTTGATAAGATCCCAAGAATTGAAAATGCTAATGCCGATGCTTTATCCAAATCGTCTAATGGCAAAGATTGTGAGTCACTCAAAATGGTACCCATTGAGCGTCTATCCAACTCATCCATCTCAAAGAAAGAGGTAGTGATGTGCATCAAAGGTACCTCCTCTAAAATGCAACCCATCATCACCTACCTCAGAGACCAAGCTTTGCCACATAGTAATGAGGAGGCCTAGAAACTAAAGAGGAGAGCTATCTACAGGGGAAAGGCAATGTCAGTTATGCGATTGTTACCATTGAAGCAAACTATATACTAAAGAAAATCCATGTAGGAGTGTTGCAACCACTTTACAGGACTTGAACAGGAATAAAATGTCCTCTAGCAAAGGTGCAACTAGCCCAACCTAAAAAGATGTACTAAACTTTGTGCAAAAGTATGATCAATTTCAGTACTTCTCCAACATTCAACGACAGTCCTCTCAGAAAATCCAAACATAGTTGTAATATCAGCCCAACCTGAAAAGATGTACTAAACTTTGTGCAAAAGTATGATCAATTTCAGTACTTCTTCAACTTTCAACGACAGTCCTCTCAGAAAATCCAAACATAGTTGTAATATCATTCAATCTTATTTCTTCACACACTAGCTCCTAAGAAGGAAAATGATAAGTGTATTTTTTACACACTTATTTGACCACAAAACATGACTAATTGTTGATCAAAACATTTGAATTATGGCATAATTTTACGTAATTATATTTTGTAGGACTATATTGATGAATGTGGATGAATTCAAGAGAAAAGAAACGAAAAAGGATAAAAAAAAATGAAGAAATCCAAAGTGTGAGGACTAAGTTGCAACATTTTAATAGTTGATTCGGACCACAAAATGAAGATTAAAGATGTTGCGGGTTCAATTGGATGCAATTGAAAGTCAAGGGGTTGAAAATGCAAGAGAAAGGGCTTGAAAGAATCAAAAATCGACTTCGGGAGGCTAAAATGCAACATATGGAAGAAGTTTTGCCTGAGCGACAGCCCAGTTATAAAAATTGGGAGATCGCCCCATATGTTTTTCTTATTACCGAGAATAAAATGTTGGCCTGAGCGATAGCCCGGGTTTTGCTTGAGCGACAGCTCAGGCCAATCGCGGCGAAAAAATTTTGGTTTCCTTTTCTGATTAAAACTCTTGTTGAAACAAATCTTGGGAGTCTTTTAAGGCCCTAGGGATGTCCAAAAACAAGGAGAGCGCATTAGGAGGTAAGAAATCACAGCTTGGAGAGGATTTTAAGCGGAATTAACGAAAGGTTGCACGAAGATCAAGAAGATTTATCAAGAATTCATAACCCGGTGATGCTTCCTCTTTAATATATGATGTATTTCGATATTATTTCCATGTTAGGCTAGATTTACATGTACTAAGAGATTTATGTACCATGTGATGAGATCTTTAAATTTCTAGTTTTACAATTTGACATCAAAATACGTTTTGATTGTTTGAATGATTTATATGCAATTATTTTTTTTCACAATTAAGGGCTCGTAATTGTGTGAGTTCGATGACTTGTTCTTGCATTTGAGAGAAGTAGAATAGGTTCCAACACTATATAAATTATCGTAGGGTCCGATAGGAGATAAAAATATACCGCTATGCCCTACGTGAATCTATAAGTGCTTACAAAACCACATGCATTTTTATACATCTCGAGAGAGAGTATTGGATAAATTTAAGAGCAATGATTCGTCAACAACTTAATCGTGTTGTCACATTGTAAAATTAGTGTTTAAGGTTATCGTTACATGGGAAATTGTGATCCTAGTACGCTTAATTTACATTAAATACTACAAATTTGCGTTCTCAACAGTTGTTTTGCATTCTAGGTTGTTAAAAATCGTGTCTTACATATTAATCTCATTTCAATCGTAAAAATTGCATAAATTATGGTTTGCATTCCAATTTAGGGTTTTCTTTCTAAAATTAGGGTTTAATTAGGTAAAAATTCACATTGAGTAATTTAGTTTCGATTAAGGCTACGATAGGTAAAATTAAACTAGCCAATTTGTATAGGACGATATTCAGACTCTAAAAATTCACTCTATTACTTGCAAACGAACCATGCACTTGCTGTGATTTTAATTGGAAGAAAATATTTCGTGAACAAGTTTTTGGCGTCGTTGCCGGAGATTGAGTTTAGTTTAATTTTATTTTTTTTATAGGCACTAATTCGAACTTTAATTTTAGTTCTCTTTTAGTTTATTTTGTCTTTGTTTTATTTTTATTATTTGATCTATTTTTTTGTGTCGAAGTGCTACTCTTATTTTTCTCGCAGATTTGCATGCTACAATCAATTGGAGGAAAATTGATTCCAGCTAATCTTGAAATTGAGCGTACTTTTCATTGACTACAAAGAGAGAACCCAGAAGCACAATTACAAATGGCTAACGAACTAAACAATCCTATTATTCAAGCCAATGAAAAAGGGGTAGCAAACGAAGGAAATATGCTCATGGAAGATTTCCTGACTCCTTAGATAATCCAAAGTGAATCTAGCATAGTCTACCTACTATTTGGACAGCCCAACTTCCAGCTGAAAAGTAACGTGATACAACTGTTTCAAAATGGGCATTTGTTTTATGGTAGAGTTGAGGAGAACCCACATACACACGTCTCTCGGTTCTTGGAGATGTGCCAACACTTCAAGTATCAGGGTATCTCAGAAGACGCAATCAAATTGAGGTTGTTTTCACATACTCTACGAGATAAGGCAATTGAATGGCTCAACTCCCAACTGATCGCTAACATTACTACATGGAATGATTTAGCACAGAAATTCTGTACCAAGTTCTTCCTACCCGTCAATATTGCAAAGCTCAAGCATGACATATCCATATTACGCCAAGGTGAATCTGAGTCTTTTGATGAAGCCTGGAATAGATTTAAAAACATGCTGCGGAAGTGTCCACATCACTGGATCAACAAGGGACTCCAAGCCCAGTATTTCTATATAGGGTTACTTCCATACCACAAGAGCATGGTGGACTCAGCATCAGATGACTCAATATCCACACGAACAGTTGATGGGGCTTCGAAATTATTTGAGAGAATGGCTACCACTTCAGCCATGTGGTCGTCTGAGAGGGTGATCCCAAGGAAAACTCCGGGTGTCTATGAGGTAGATACTTATTTAGTAATATCTGCAATGATCGACTCTCTATATCACAAGATGGAAAGTATATCACAAGCAATGCAAGCTAAGAAGATCAAAAGTGAGGACTGTAGAGTTGAACATAAAACATTAGAATGCCCAATACTAATGCAAGGATTTGAGCAAGCAGACTATGCACAGTGGGGACAACGCCAACAGAACAATCCATATGGAGAAACTTTCAATCCCACTTGGAAGAAGTATCCCAACTTCTCTTGGGATAACCAAAATCAAAATAGACCACGGGGACAATTTCAACAGCAAAAGAATAAACCTTAATTGGAAGAGATGATAGGAAAGTTCATGGAGAAGGCCGAAGCTACACTTCATAACCAAAATGCATCCATAAAAAATTTGGAAACTCAGGTGGGACAATTAGCCATAGCATTGATTGGCAGAATACCAGGAAACTTGCCAAAGAACACAAAAATCAACCCCAATGAGCAAGCCAAGGCCATTACAACTCGAAGTGGAGTGCAATTACTTGAAATACATGTCAAGAGGCTAGCTGTGATCGAAGAGACAACGTCTCTTGCCAAAGAAGAAACTATTAAACAAGATGAACAACCAAAGGAATCAACTCCATAGGAAAATTCAGAAAAGTCACGGGATAAAGTCAAAGGTACACTTAACCCATACGAGCCTCCAATTCCTTTTCTACATGGTTGAAGAAGTATAAAATGGAGCAGCAATACAAGAAGTTTCTAGAAGTCTTCAAAAAGCTCCATATCAACATCTCACTAGCCGATGCACTCTTCCAGATGCTTAGCTATGCGATGTTTCTCAAGGATATTCTATCAAATAAATGCAAGTTGGAGGACCATGAGATAGTAATGCTTATAGAGGAATGTAGTACCAGAATCCAGAAAAAGCACCCACCAAAATTGAAAGATCCAGGGAGTTCTACTATTCCTTGCATTATTGGTGAAGTTTATTTCGATAAAGTCTTATGTGATCTTGGTGCAAGTATTAATTTAATCCCTCTGTCTGTTTTCAGGAAACTTAGCTTGGGAGAGGCTAAAGCTCATACTGTTACACTTCAGATGGCTAAAAGTTCACTAACACATCCTAGAGGAATAATTGAAGATGTGCTTATCAAGGTTGAAAAGTTTATATTCCCTGTGAATTTCCTCATATTGGACATGGAAAAAGACAAGGACGTCACGTTGATACTCGGCAAACCATTTTTGGCGACAGGGAGAGCTTTGATAGATGTTCAAAGAGGGTAGTTGATCTTAAGATTGGGAGGAAGAAAAATTGCTTAGGGTACTCGAGAAAAATGAGATGGCGATTGGGTGGACGATAACTGACATAAAAGAGATCAACCCTTCTTTGTGTATGCACAAAATTCTCGTGGAGAAAAATTGTAAGCCAAGTATAGAGGGACAGAGAAGACTAAATCCAAACATGAAGGAAGTAGTCAGGACAGAGGTACTGAAATTATTGGATACAGGCATTATTTACCCAATCTCAGACAGTGCATAGATCATCCCAATTCAAGTTGTGCCAAAGAAAGGGAGAATTACAGTGGTTCAAAATGAGAAGAATGAGTTAATCCCCATTAGAACAGTAACAGGATGGAGAGTTTGCATCGATTATCGCAAACTCAATGCAGCTATACGAAAGGATCATTTTTCACTATCATTTATTGACCAGATGTTGGAGAGATTAGTAGGGCATTCACACTACTGTTTCTTGATGGATGCTCGAGCTACAATCAGACACCAGTCACGCCAAATAATCAGGAGAATACCACTTTCAAGTCCCTACAACACTTTTGGTTACCGTAGGATGCTTTTTGGCCTTTGCAATGCTCCAACCACATTCCAGAGATGTATGATGGCAATACTCTCCGATATGATTGAAAGGTTTATCGAGGTGTTCAAGGACGACTTCTCAGTATTTGAATTTTCATTCTATGAATGGTTGGAGCACCTGAATTTGGTATTGCAGAGATTCAAGGAGACTAACCTGATTTTGAATTGGGAAAAATGCCACTTTATGGTGCAAGAAGGCATTGTACTTGGGCATCGAGTTTCAGCAAAAGGAATTGAGGTGGACAAGGCAAAAATTTAGGATATTGAGAAGTTACCACCGCTTACATCAGTTAAAGGGGTTCGCAGTTTCTTGGGGCATGCGGGGTTCTACAGGAGATTCATAAAGGATTTCTCAAAGATCACTAAGCCTCTATGCAATCTGCTAATGAAAGACATACCCTTTTAGTATAGTGAGGAATGTCTCACAGCATTCAACACTTTAAAAGAGAAACGCACATATCAATCATGCCACCACTGAAAAGGAGCTTCTGGCTATGTTATATGCATTTGATAAGTTTAGGTCATATCATATGGGATCTAAGGTCATTGTCTACACAGATCATGTTGCACTAAAGTATCTACCACAAAAAAGGATGCAAAGTCGAGATTGATTCGTTGGGTGTTATTGCTGCAAGAATTTGGTATCGAAATAGACAGTGAGAACGTAGTAGCAGAGCACCTATCCCGATTGGAGCTTGGGAAGACAGAAGAATTAGTGGACATCAATGAGATCTTCCCTGATAAGCAGATGTTGAGAGTAGATGAACTACCTTGGTATGCAGACATCGTCAACTACTTGGTCAGATCCATCCCACCGCCTGATTACTCAAGTCACCAGAGGAAAAAGTTCTTCTCCGAACTGAAGTACTATTTTTGGAAGGATAAAATTCTCTATAGGCGAGGGGCTGATCAGATCGTAAGGAGATGCATACCTGAAGAAGAAATACCTGAGATTCTTGAGCACTTCCATTCATTTGCATGTGCAGGGCACTTTGGGGCTTCGAAAATAGCTGCAAAGATCTTGCAATCAGGATTTTACTGGCCTACACTGTTTAGGGATGCCTTCGAGTTTGTTAAGAGGTGTGACAGATGTTAACGCATTGAAAATATCTCAAGGAAGGATGAAATGCCACTGAATAACATTTTGGAAGTGGAGATATTCAATGTCTGAGGAATTGACTTCATGAGACCTTTCCCTCCTTCGTTCTCAAATCAGTACATCTTGGTAGCTGTGGATTATGTATCTAAATGGGTAGAAGCGTTACACTACCAACAAACAATGCGAAGGCAGTGATTGGATTCTTGGAGAAGTATATTTTCACCCGATATTGTACACCGCGGGCTATAATCAGTGACGGGGGCAAACACTTCTGTAATCGCCAGTTTGAGCAGTTTTTGGATAAATATGGTGTAAAACACCGCGTAGCTACCCCATATCATCCACAAACCAGCGGGCAAGTTGAAGTATCTAATCGGCAGTTGAAGAGAATACTTGAAGTTATAGTGAATTCATCAAGAAAAGACTGGTCGAAAAAACTGGACGATGCACTGTGGACTAATAGGACAGCATTCAAGACATCGATAGACATATCTCCATACTGCCTAGTTTTTGGAAAAGTGTGCCATCTGCCACTAGAGATTGAACACCGGGCATATTAAGCTGTGAAACAGTTAAACATGGATTTGAATGCCGCCGGTGAAAAGCATCTGCTGTAGCTTAATGAGTTGGATGAGTTCTGAATGGAAGCATAT